ACTATTGTGTCAATTTAATAGAGAACATGAGTTCATCTGAATTGTTGTTGTTCTGTCATGAGTTTTATGACTGATTTGTCTTTTCATAATTGTTTTTCCTTCCGTTTACTCTTCTTTTGATTTTGACTTCAATGGCTTCTTTATATCCCACTTTTTTAATGTCTATAAGAATTTTGGTATAGATCAACCAGAAACCTTGTCTGCAAACTTTAAACTATTTTTGTAACGTGCACATGGTTCTCTAAATTGGGGTTCCGTTTTTTTTTTTTTTTCTTCCCACATATATATCACAAAAACGTATAACATCACACGAAGCTGTAATTTCAAGACATCCGAATAAACATAAATACAATATTTTTCTTCAATTATATCAACTTATGTGTGAAAAATCATCAGGTACTTGAATAGTGTCAATTTGAGTTTTTGTCATTATAACCTAATCAGAACAGATTTTTGGGTCATTAAAACAACCCTGGAACTAAAGTCTGAATAACTGAGTACACACCTCCACGTACTAATATCAAATAAGACATCTATATACCGTTCGAATGGACAGAGGTGCTATGATATAACTTAGAAATGGGAAGTCGTTAATGTTAAATTGTATGACGGTTTTACCTAAGTTTCTGTTTCTTCCATTAATCTGTCATTTCCTAATTGATTTTTGAGATTAGAACATCGGTAAACGACCGTCGCCCTAACTGAACACTCTGAATTCTAAAGAACATTTCATTAACCACCTAGTAAATGTCCCGTTGGTGGTCTGTTTAGAAAGAAATTGCTATACATTGAAGAAAAAAGTAACATACTTCTTCAGAATATGTAGTGAATGCACATCTTTCACATAAAGGCACTAATACATATATGATTGAATTCTCTTTACAAATTCTGCAGTTTGTCTGCTAAATGTTATCCTACATTAGCATGGTAATAAGATAACGATATAATAGCGCATCGTTTTGATGGATATGCGTATGGCCAAGGAGGGTCTCGAACGTCCCATTACTAACACATCTGTCAAATCAATTTTTGAAAACAACTTTTTGATTTTGCCACATTCCTCATGGATCTTTTTCGTGACAAAACTTATTGTTTTCAATTCTAAAGGAGAAGCGTTTAGATATCCACCATTTTGTGAGTTGATTTAATGAACATATCATATTCGATATAATATGTTTTTTATCAATGCAGATATAATTGATTTCTGAAACTGTTTGCTAAAGATTCAAACTAAAATCCGTTATTATGGTATTAGAGGTTTAGCTAGCTATACAACTATCACAAGATGAATCCACCATTTTCTATATAAAAAAATTCATGTACCAAGTCAGGAATATGACAGTTGTTATCCATTCGTGTGATGTGTTTGAGCTTTTGATTTTGCCATTTGATAAGGCACATCCCGTTTAAAATTATCCACTGGGTTCAATATTTTTGTTATTTTATTTTCTATCAAAAGATAATGACAAAACTAATAACGAATTGTGCAGTTAGGATGCTAATTTGGCAATTTTGCATATTTATATTTCGAATGGTTATCAGGCCCATATAGTCTTACAATCATTGTATGCTTCAGATTTTATCGAAATGATGTTTATAAACTCTTAGTTGTTCGTATTAATGTTTGAAAATATGCTAGTTAAACATAGATTCATGATGATTCTTGTCAATGTCAGTCAGTATTGTATATAATAGAGCATTAATCATTCAGATGGCTATTCGTAACTTTATATCGTATTTTAATCTTATAAGGCAAATACATTAAAAGCGTGTTGAAAGTTTAATGATCTCAAAAATGATATTTCCTTTTTCATTTTACTGCTTTTTATATCTAATAGCTATTGTACACACATCATGTCTGGTCGTCCGGTGTACATTATTATACAACGATCATTTTTAATTGTTATATTTGTTCAACAGGTTTATACATTGTTATATATGGATTTACATTTAAACAAAATATATATTTCACACTTATTTTTCTCTGATTTTAGAAAACAATCACCACCAACACTCTACAGTTACCAGTGCAACCAGTGTTGTTAAGTAAGCTATGAAGGAAGAATGTGTAAAAATATTGAACATGCAAAGGTGTTTATAAGAAACTGTCAATACGATGAATACCTGTCAAAGAAAATAGTAAGATTATAGATATTTACACGAGGATAAACCAAGAAAAACACAATCTTTCTAAAACGCAATATCAGCAATATGAAATGATAACAAATGACAGGGAGAAAAGCGATGATTACAGATTTATATTATACCATTTCCATACAACGCCATGAAAAGTATTAAAGGTGAAATAGCATAGTGAAAATACACAAACCTCTTTATCATGTTTATAATTGTGTAGAATAACTGTACTGTTATACAAAGGAAAGGAAATATTAGAATTTACAAAATTGTATACAAGACTGTGTAGATCACTCTTTAATCCTAGATATGAAACAATATAATATGCTACAAGTAACATAACCAACCGTGTATACATATGAATAAAAACTTCTACTTAAACTGTTTTGTATTACTTTTTCAAGACAGAAAAAGCTGCTGTGTAAGTATCATTAACAAACTATTTGTTGTTACAAGTTTCTTTCAAATATTGGAAAAAAAACTAATTATGAATTGTGACCACAAAAATCAAATACCATCGTTTATGAAATATATTTCAACGCAATGTATTGCTTTCGTAATACCTTTTTTGGCGGCGGGGGCTTAAAAACAAATACAAAATATAGATTTCTTGCTAAGGGTAGTTCACATTGACTGGTTTCTTTAAATTAGACAGTTTCTTCAATATCTAAGCCTTATTTCAGAAAGCAGAAACGCGTAATAAAAATATTCGTTTCGATAAATAATTGTATATAATTCATATCGCATTTGAATATATCTGATGGAAAACAGTATGTACATGTTTTTGTTGACAATAAAAAAATAAAGACAAAAACAGCAATATGGTCTCATCGCACGATATCGAATTGGAATATTTCCTACAGAGTGTACAAGAGTATAGGATGCAAAATTATCTGACTGATCGCAAAGCATGAAAAAAAGGAATTACGCATATAATTATCTTCATGATTTTCACCTGTGTATAATTATTCTGATGCTATATTTTCTTATCTGAGAACTTTTATTTACTTTGAGAATTTTTACAGAATAAAGTTCATTCCTCAAAATGTAGAGTGTATTAAAACAAGGAGCAGTGGCAGTAAATAAGTCGTTTGTTTGTTTGACAATTTTATCTTATTTATCCAACCTTGCATTTTCTTTTATAGCGAAAAACCGTGAGTATAAGTTCATATCACTTTTTACATAAGATAAATACATACATATATTTAATCTCTAAATTTACTTGTAAAACAGATAAATGGCAATGTACAAAAAAAGACCGAAGATACAAAGGGGACATTCAAATATCATTCGTAACTGATAACGCAATTGCAAAAACTGAAAGACAACAACATGGCAAACGAGTCCACAAAACAATTCATAGAAAACCACACTGTGAGCAGCCTGAACCCTAACAAAATCTGTCGGTGATCGCAAGTATAATTTTCCATTCAATCAAATAACATAGTGGTCTTGTGTTAAATTGCATAACAGGTATTTCGTCAACTCTTAGCAACAAGTAATATAAAAAACTGGTTGATATCGTTAGTCATAGAGAAAATGAATATAGTCTGCATGTAAACATGACATTTTTCATAGTCAAATGGTTCATCTAGATGTATAAATAAATGTATATATATATATATATATAATCTATCTTCCACGAAATGTGATTTCCGCATATATTTAATGAATCCTGACGCATTTTGTTATACGTGTTACAGTTTCATATTTATTTATCTAATGACTTGCACAACACTTTAACAAAACATATTAATCTATTTGAACTTGTTTTGGATAATTAGAATTATTAAATCTGGTTATAGTTGTTTTCGTAATATATTGCATATTAGATCAAAGATGGCAGTTTGTGTTATTGTATACACTACAAACCAATCCTTGTTTGTGTGGAGAAAAAGCAAATTGATTTTTATAGTTTGTTCTTATGCTGTGCTTTTTACCGATCACCTAGAATTGAGGGACGCCGTATTGCTCAGAGACATGCGAATACCAGTCAAATTATATTTATGCCTGTCCCAAGTCCGAAGACTGTAATGCAGGTGTTGTTCTTTGTTGCAGTATATAGCGTTTTTTGTTTGTTTTGGTGTTTAGTAGAAATGCAATCATGCACTATTTTAGGTTTATATAAATTGATTCTAAAGTTTTTAATACTCATATGGTTGGCTCGTTGACGGTAAATCACAACTGTCTGAATATAGTTCCATATGTTTTAACGATGTATTCCTTAAACTTGTAAGTTTCGTTTCATATGTGGTGTGTCATAAATCTTTGACAATGTGTGCAAGTAGTTACGAGCATTATTCGACTTAACTTGAGTAACATAGTGGATGTCACTTGTGGCTTTGCATAGGAACTACTTATCCTTCGGGAACATCTGCATTCACTTCGGTTCTTTTGTAGCTTACTTTTATCAATCTGCAATTGTCTGTGAAGTGTGGACTTTGATTTTGCTAGTATTTTTTTTTTCTTTTTGAACGTTGTGTAGATTTCATTGTTCAAAGTAATTTTCCATTGCCCCCTCATGTTTCAGTTTTCTTTCCTATCGATATATGTATATGGAGACGAATGTGTATCTGGATTGCAGTCTCTTGTACGTGATTTTTTCTTTTTATTCATATCAAACATTCATATCATTTCGATCTTCAATCGTACGAATACATTAAGGTTATTTTTTAATGTTGCATGAGCATTTAGAAAAAAAACCCGGTTATTTTTTCATTACGATTATCATATAAGAAAAAAAATGAACTTTCCTTGTTTATAGTGAACCTATGAACATAACGTCACTTAGAAAACACAAAATCGATAGATATATCAGTGTATTGGGATTTCAAAAGAGGCGGGTATTTAGAGAATACTCCAAAATGGACTCCGTAATTGAGAGAATTCTACAAATGAGTAAGGGAAACGTAGCTAACCATTTTACAAAATAATAGTTTCAGAATCTTCGGCAAATTTATTCAGTTTAACTGAAATGGAATAACCTTAGAATTTGAATTATCTTTAACAAAAAAAAAAAATGAAAATACTACTATAAAAAACTGGATTAATTCACATGATTAACATACTAAAATTGTCCATTTCAATGTTAGAAAATCTATACAATGCTACAAAAAATGTAAAATCACAAAAATACTGAACTCCGAGGAAAAATCAAAACAGAAAGTCCCTAATCAAATGGCAAAATCAAATGATAAAACACATCAAACGAATGGACAACAACTGTCATATTCCTGACTTGGTACAGGCATTTTCAAATCTAGAAAATGGTGGATTGAACCTGGTTTTATAGCGCTAAACCTCTCACTTGTATGACAGTCGCACCACATTCCATTATATTTACAACGATGCGTGAACAAAACAGACACAATAAGTAACATTGTCAAAATATGGGTACAGCAGTCATCACTGTGTCACAGTCTCAAAACAAACAAACATTTAACAAAGAAGCACAAAAAGCATCCATCTAACCATTTGTTTTGCTGTTCTTTTTTTATTTTGTCGCCATGTGTGTACTTCCATATTTTTGGCGAAATTTTTTCAGAGTCATTTTTCTATCAATAAAGCTGCCATGTTGCTTGGAATTGGTCTGGACAACGTAATTGCAGTAGACTGTGATTCAAAGTAAGAATTCCTCACCTCTACCTGCAAGCAATTACTTCCATTAGAATAAACGAATTAAAAAGACCGAAATGAATAAAATTTAAACATGTTAGAGTAGAATGAAATTCAAAAAACACATGTTCCGTCGGAATGTTAACAAAATTCTTTACAGTACCTCGAGTGTGTAATTCCTCTGATTTATTAGATATATATATACTGTTCCGCAAACCTTCCCAAACGCTCCGTATTGTATAGCAAATAAACGAACACAACAAGTCACGGTTACGTATTTCTTAAATAATTCTCATCATGTACGTTCGGAGCCAAAAATTCATGCATGAAAAACAAAAATTGGACCTAAACACAAAACCTTATAGGGGCTAAGGATGAACCGTATGGTTATCGTATATCAGTTACAAGACATGAATGAAACTGCGAATATGTCGGGAACTTGACTGATGATATCTGAGGCTCAAAATCCCACTAGACAGTATAGACTCATAAATAAAGAAGTTATACCGGGTTAAATTTGAAACACCAAAAAAAAAAAGAAAGAAATTATGAAACTATTGTTACAATATACATTTATGCTTGATACCTATTTAGGCTAAACAAAGATAACAGTTAAGTGACTGAATACACATTAATCAGAACAAGCATGAAAATCCCAAACCGCAACAGAACATTAGCAGAATATCTGAGAATCGTATGGAGAGAAATACAGTTTTAGCTTCGATATACTATACATTTGTAATACGTAAATGTAAAGAGTAAAAGTATAAGATTTTTTGTTTTAATATCGGAATGCTGACTACATAGATGATGAATATTAACCAAACGTATATATTTTACTTTGATGTCTTTTGTATATTTGATTGGGTCAATTCTTATTGAATTAAAACATTACTCTAATTGAAAGGAAGTTTTAAACAATATCACAATTGATAACTGACAACAAATTATTTTGATAAACTATAATATCCTTATGATATGAATGAAGTATATTTGTATTTGAAGTGGGAAAATGAAGGTAGATGTCTTGCGTTCAAAAATAAAACACTCAATTGCAAACCAACAAACTCCTTTGATGGTAAATGCGACATGTGGAACAACAATTCTGGGAGCTTTCGACCCGCTGGAAAAAAATGCCGATGTATGTGAAGAGTTTGGGATGTGGCTACATGTAGACGTACGTCCAAACAGAGATATGTAATACAAACGAATAGCAACTCCATTTATTCTATTGAATATATGATACGGTTTTTTTTTCATTATTTTTCAAACTTCTTTTTCACGTACAAATGATTCCTTCTATCTTATTTTTTTTCTCCTCAATTTTTAAGAATTTTTCCGTGTATGGTTCGAAAGGTGTGAAAAACGTATATTTTCAAAAATTAAGATTTTATAAACATTGAAAGTAAATAAATTGACATCAAGATATTGAAAATTCAACGAAATCACAGATAGATTGGTACATGGTGTTGATATTTTTTGTACACCTTATGTTGTTGTTGATAGTAAATATATATGATGTTATAAAACATGGAAAACTAAATGTAATTTTTGCAGGTATCATTTGAGTATTTTTGTGTTAATTCGTACATGTTCGATGAAATCACGAATACTGCGTGATACCACAAAATTTCATGGCATGGCAGAAGGGAGCATAGACAGCATGATTTTTTGGCTCGTTGAATACACATACTTTGTTGGAAAAGATGTTATTTTTATTTTATATAACTTTTTTGACAACAACTTGTAAGGGAATAATTAATCCTGTTACCGGTAATCAAATGCAGCGATCATTACTTCGTCATTTCACTCTACCCAACTATTTATTTCTCAAAGGGTGAATTCTTAAATCTGCTTAATCAAAATTGAGTTTGGAAAAAATAAGAATAATGAAATCCGAAGCGAGATGATATTCTCATTTTTGTCTATAAGTGACAAGGTATAAACAGGAGTTTCTAACACGCCTGCCGGAATGTTAAAAATGTACAAGACTTACTTTTGTCAAGCATACTTCTATAAAGCATTTTAAGATACTTTTGTCAGAGGTAGAAACTAAGATCACTGATGCATCTAGTACATAGTAATTTTTCATCTTTCCTTAGAATATTGTTAAATGGATTTAATGAGAATGTATCTTCAAAAAACAAAAATTACTCTTTACTAAATTGAATCAGTTATTTTTTTCACTTTGTGTCTTTAATTATAATGATGAATGTGTTCTAGGAAGAGTCTAAATATCTAACGTCATTGCTCACAAACTGTTTTTATGAAATGTTTTGCGTTTCACTTATACAACTGCGTACGAAAAACGGACATGCGTGGAATACTAGTATTTGATTGAAGTTTTGTTATGTAGGATGATCTTTTAATTTATTATTATTATGACAAACCTATGATAGCAAGGGGATATTATATTTTCTGGTATGTGAGTCTGTCTGTTCGTCCTATTCCAAATATGAAACTTTTAGAACTGTATACCAAAATAAAGTTTGACCCGGATTTAGTGGTTCACTGAACATGGAAATGTGATAATGTGAGAGGACACGATGTCTTACGGCCACGTATTCTTGTTTCAAATGTTTTGAATATACATACTTATACATGTATATGTGTATCTTTCATATTCATAATCGCCTCTTTGGTCTTTTAGTAGCGCGCTCGTATCGACAGTAGCTTGAACTTTGTTTCTATTGAAGCAATGAAGCAAACGACTTAAAACTTGGCACTCAGAGCCTTAACTTGGTTAAAAAACCGCAATGCCAAACGGAAATGGACGGTTAATAGCAAATCAGAATAGCAAAATAGCTTTTAGCGTTCACAAATTAAAAAAAAAAAAGAATTTCAAACAGGTTTAATTGATTGATTGATTGATGGGACAAAAACTGGATGCATATTCAGGACAAGTAAAACAAAATAATTGAATAATATGTAGACTCGGTCGACCAAGATAACAGCATGCATTTCAACTGCAACTGGAAAATGAGAGCATGATAGACAGGGGAATACATCTTTTCTTGAAACAGTCCTCCTATGGATCCTTGTTATATTTGTTCTGTGCATGTAGAGCTAGTGGGGGCTTTTGACAAAATGCATGGCTTATAACAACTGGGTGAACTATGAAGTATGGTTTCTATTAATCAGGTTACATGTCAGTAAGAAGTGGACCGCAGTTTGTCTCATAGGAATGCCAAATATCTGTTAAAAATGACGTCCACCTAAAGTAATAAGTTCGTTGTCAAGAAAAAAATCAAGCATCGTTGCAGGTTCAAAGTTATGACCTCTTGTTTGAATATTTTTTTTACAAGATATTCTTTGTCTGTCTTGAAAAAGATAGTTGTTCGTTTGATTAAAAGAAAGTTTTACTGATACTTTTGTTAAGTTAATCATGTGTAGAGGGTGTAAACGTTTGGAGCCATCGTCACTCTGTACTGTTTACTATGAAATACACGGTATATATTGTCTCTTTATTTTATTTTTTTTCAATAATAAAAAAATTGGTGAGGCGGTTACCTCATTGGCTCAATGGAATCTACGCCACTGCTCGAGTGCGGGTGGTCCTGGGTTCGACACCCCCCCCCCCCTTATGTAGCTACATATGTGGTAAATGCATAGAACTTTAACATATTCCACTCCTAATGTTGCCTAGTTTAGGCCTAGTTTAGGCCCCCTTTTTCAAAATCCTAGATTGGCATCTTTTATTGAAGTCTTATTATCTAATGTTTTTCTATGTTTCCTACCTTACAAACTCACCTCAATGATCTTTTTATTAAAAACAAATTCGGTGACCCCCTATAAATTGTTTATCAATGAAATGGATAAAATACTATATATAAGTAAAGGTACGTCAAGAAATATATAAAATATTTTGCCTGGAAATGTCTTTTGTGTTTGAACTCAAGTAGCATTTGCGTTAAACAAAACAACACAGAACAATCCATAATCGAGCACACCTTTTGAAATACAATTTATTTAGGGATTTTTTATCTATACGTTTTATGATGAATGGAACATATTTTTATTTAGAAATTAACTGGAATATTCTGACAAACACTGATTTTGACATTTCTGAAATTCTTCTTATAATAATTGCCCCTCATTTTTCATCATGTTAAAATTATCTAATATGGACGAAAATTCCAGAGTATGATTTAAAGAGTATTTGCATACTTGATTTAAACTTGAGCGACGTATTCAACCAAATTCAATGGTTGGAAATAACCATTTTCATTAGGTCCGTACGTCGAGTTACGTACGTATGTCATTTTATTAGAAATCTCTACTAAGATAATTCCTTGACGTATATATTCAATTTTGTTCTGCTGTATAGCTTTAATATGTTTCTTTTGCAAGATCCGTGTTTTTCAATACAAATTCATCTTTTCTGCGGAAGAATGTTAATGTTGTAATGTTATACCACTTTTTCATGTTAGGGTGAAGGTTGGCGCATGTTAAAACGTTTAAACCCCCTGCATTTTTATGCACCTGTCCTAAGTCAGGAGCCTGTTGTTCAGTGTTGGTCGTTTGTTGGTGTGGTTCATTTGTGTTTCTCGTTTCTCGTTTTTTATATAGATTAGACCGTTGGTTTTCCTGTTTGAATTGTTTAAAATTTAGTCTTTTGTTAGGGCCCTTTATAGCTTGCTATTTTGGTGTGAGCCAAGGCTCCGTGTTGAAGGCCGTACTTTGACCTATAATTGTTTACTTTTTACACATTGTGACTTGGATGGATAATTGTCTCATTGGCACTCATACCACATCTTCTTATTTATAAATAAAACAGCAACAACTTTATCCTACTTAATTTAAAACTGAGATAAAACTTTAAAATATGCAGATGTTTCTCTATAATGATTCGTGAAGAACTACACAAGCGTTCACTAAATATGTATGTAACACCTTCTTATACACAAAGACAATAAAAAACGCAGTTGTTTATAAGTAAAAACACAAATAAAACATTAGTACATAAATCAAAGCAGGTCGAGTTGAAAAATTGTGATACAGTAATGAAATTGAACATCCGGCATATTAATATTATCGTTAAGATAGAATATTTTTATCTGAAGGGCTGATTCTATGACATGGAATCCACACAAGATGATGGGTACGCCTTTGCAATGTTCAGCTATTTTGTTGAAGGAAAAGATAATAATAGCTAATTTAACATTTCAACTGAGTATACTCGAACTCTTAGTTAGTTATTCATTTGTATGTATCTTCTCTATATCATATTTCATATATTACTAGCCAGTTATAGGTATGAGATATAAAATATCTTATTAAAATTACAGTGCTTACGCTGCTTTTAAAATATCATTGAAAACTAATCAGCGAATGCACTTTCGACACTTGTTTGAACATTTTTCATTGTCCATATGTTTATAAGTTGCTTTATAGAGTTTGATTGTATTCGGAGAATCTGCTCATCAATTACGCACAATACAAACTCTGCCAATCTTACCCCGAGAACGAGGATCGAGAAAAGCCCTTTAATAAAATTTTGATGATCTATATTTGACCAGACTTTTATCTTTCGAGGGTTATTTAAAAAACGGAGTAAATTTAAACACAGACAAGAAGCTGTCAGATTGACAGCAAACCGGATTTTCCTGCATGTTGGTGTTTGCAAATCTGGACCCCAAATCAGGATCAAATTAAACAAAATAAATGATTATTTTTAGGATGTTGAAATGAAAAGGCCAAAAACAATCTAAGTATCATTTTTCGCTACTTAAAGGTCTACAACTCAGCAACGATGAAAGCTAAAATCTTAAAAATCGAACTTGACCTTCATTTAGGGACAGGAAACAACATATCTAAATTTACAAATATTTCGTCATAGCGTTTACAAGTTATTGCACGGACACTGTTTGACAGCCGCCCACCCGCCATACATCACCAAATTAATAACCGATATTTTACCTTGGAAATCCGGTTGAAATGCAGTTATTAAGCAATAACCCTTTTTGATGAACATATCACGAAACTCCTTATTTTTTTTTTTTTTTAACATTATTTGAAAATGTTAACTTTCTGTCTATATGAATACCCCTATTAATTCAAAGTTCATTCATTTACGAAACAGAGTTTATATTATGTTAATCATTTGGACTGTGCTGCTAAAACCTCAGTGGTTATCCATTGTAAATCCAGTTGATTCATATAAGATTTGACCACAGATTAAATATTCAACAGTTGTTAAAGAGTTTAAAGATAACATTACCCCAGGCTTGAAATGTGAAAATTAATAAAAGAATTGAAAAAAGTCTATTACATGACAGCCTAAACTTTTATAATGGTAACTGCAAATATTCAGTAACGAGAAAAATAAAACCGATTTTCCAAATTCCCAAAGTGTGATATATGTTATTTTTTTTGTTGAAAATCATTTTAGGGTGTTTTACTGGATGTCAACCAAACTGGTGCAACATACCTATATCACAAAGACAAACATTATGATACAAGCTTTGACACTGGTGACAAGTCTTTACAATGTGGACGTCATAATGATGTCTTCAAATTATGGTTAATGTGGAGATCGAAGGTAAATATTGCAAATGCGGAAACAAATTTTGCCATCCTCTAGGATACTTAATCATTAGGATATTTTTTTCAGTGGCTGTCACTAATTACAAAATAATCAACTTTTGTATTGATTTCATCCTATGAAGGGATATCAGAAATCGTCAAAAGAAAACATCACATAGTACAACAGACCATATTAACTAACACCCGACGCATCTGAAAGAAAGATATATAATGTAGATACAATGGATAAGCATTGGTTTGTTAAAAAGATACCACGAACCTTTTTATCCATTGTGTCTTGTTAAGACGTCTTTTCAAAATAACAGTTCTTTCATTAATTAAACTCTATTGTCAGTGAGTTCAAATAACCACCTAATTATCTCAAATGATTCACAAGAAAGAACAAATAATTAGAATTTATATATAGGGAGTCGATTTAAATCATTAAATCATGAAGACAAAATCGTAAGCACTTACATTATACTGTACTGAAATTTCCATTTCATCATCATTCATTTGAATATAATCGACAAATCTATAATAACAAACCAACGTTAAAATGATTTACTCTCCATTATACATTTAGGTACATCTCACCTCGATTAATCTTCCTCTTAGCATATTCTTGAGTGAAAGAAAAGCAGTTAATCTATTCTTAATAACCCTTTCAGTTAAGATTTGTCATAGACCGTTTTAAAAGTACACCAAACGAAACTAACTGTTAGAGATGTGCGCTTTATATTAACGGTGTTTGTCTCTCGTGCTGCGTGGAGGCCTTAGACAGTTTCCCCGTGCTTGATATGTATGCTCTTCTGTTTTTTTAAAGCTATGGTGTGTTTATCCTTGAGATAACTTCTCTGATGTGTGCCACAGCATTATCTCAATTTTAGGCCAGTTGTGTACTGTTACGGCCAGAAATCACCTTTTAATTGTAGCAAACAAAAGACAAATATCAAATATAAATTTTAGAATCCATTTATGCATTTTTGTATTATTCAAAAATATAAGGCAATATGTGTTCTAGAAGAATTACCAGTCTTTCACCTTTCATTTGATACCTTAATAACCAAAATGTATTCTACATAGTTTAATATTTACATATATGCGTAGAAACTATTTTGTTTTTAGTATGTACTACTTTCCAGTACGTTCTTTTTTGACCGGGTCCGATTTGGTGGTGATACATCTTACAAAGTCTATTCGAATCATTTTGCAAAGAATTCAATTCAAACTGTTGATGGGGACCGTCTTAAACATGTTATGGAATGAGAGCTTTTTAAGTTTTTTTCGGAGTCGAAGGCCTCACTGTTACTTTGAGATGAAGAACAGCAAAAAAACGCTGTTCCTTTGCTTTTTGTGTTTTTCGCTGTGCATGTACTGATTTTGTGTCATGGATGGATACCCCATAATCCTTTGTTTTTCTATTATACGTCAATAAGACAGCAGCCCAACGACAAAAATACCAAGGAAATTTAGAGGGTAACATATAGTTTTCAACAATAGATAGGTGTCTACAAAATATGTCCAGTTCTAAATCGTCACGAATATATATAAAGATTGTGAATAAATTTAACAGAAACAATTAAAAATATGCAATAAAATCGCAATTCTCCAGATGATGCGACAATTTAGGAGAAAGCATGATAATAAAAAAAAGTTAATAATTCAAACGTTACCAACGTTTACTACTTAGAGGTGTATTTTCCCCTTTCTTTACCCAAGGGAACTTTCCTAGAAGGCGTGGATTGAATATTGTCCGCATCTTTTCAAAACGTTCATGTAAATTGATTGCGTCATGTGTCAAAACAGTTATTGACCAATCAAATCGTTATACATCAAATAACTTGCACGGTCGGTAAGTCCTACGTCGTTCGAGTCAAGTGGGGTCATCCGAGCCGTGCAGATTAAATTACATATACCGATTTGCTTGTTCAATAACCATAACTTATAATACACCAAATAAGAACAAAGGAAATACTAATGGAGAAAACAAGGATTCGAACCAAAACCGACAACTTCTAATTTTGATATAAAAATAAGAAGATGTGGTATATTTGCCAACGAGACAACTCTCCACCAGAGACCAAATGACATAGACGTTGATTCTACAACTAATTCAATTTAACCTCGCAGCTACTAACTTATATTATAGATCGTCTATTATTAAAGTATATAAAAGTGTGTGTATCATACTTTAATTTCGGTTTTAATAGGACAAATAAGATCATTCTAAAAAGTGAAGCGAATAAAAGTGTGCCGTGTGTATGGCTGTTCAAATTCACCCCCGTAAGAGAAGGCTAAAATGTCCAATAAATCTATGTATTGCATGAATTTTTTTTATATAATACACATGTATCTAATGAAAAATGTGTTTACTCCTTATAATTCTCAACCAAAACATTTGTTTCGTTGGATACTATTTTAGGACATACGATACATTTTTGATCCCACGGTGATACATACAAGCTGTAGAAAAATCAAATATGTAATAAAAGATGTTCCCTCGTGTGCTTTTTCAGAGGGAATTAAAATCAGTAGAACAATGCATCTTTCCCCGATATGTCATGTCGCGAAAATAACATTTTACGTTAGCAACGTCATTATATCCCCTGTATCTTTATACCGAGCGTTGGCGAGCGTTAAATGTTGACAAATATAATGCCCACCCCTGTTAAAATGAGCATAGAGCATGGCATGATAGAATTTAGATCTTTTGTACTTCGAAACGGTTCTATAATACACGTTTGAAAGGCAGCCAGTTTGAATTTATGAGCCAAAACGATATCGAAAATCAACCGTTTCACAATAAAAATTAAACAGATACATGTAAACTTACTTTTAGAACGATTTTATTTAATTTCATAGCGAGCAACACCAACACAAATGTCCATTTTGTTCTCCGGCTTTGTTCAAAATACAACTGAAAAATTCAAATTAAATTAATTGTGACATCAATCACGTTCAAGCCATGTTCTATTGCAATTAGAACACATGGCTTTATTTCCAAAGCGAAAGAAGAAAGTCATATTATAATTGTATTTTAACGTCAAATCCACGGGTGACATGTCATAACTAAGGATTTGGCCGCCATGTTGACTTATTGAAATCAATAAAATGTGGGAATAATGCAATGAACAAGAAAATGAAACACCTACCTCCAAACTCTATTTCAATGCGATATTATCCGAATTTGGTATCAATAGTTATATACAGTTATTTCTCTCTGAATTTGCCGTTGTTTTATACTAATTGTTTCTCCTGACATCAGTTCCTCTTTGTGTGTGTGTGGTGTTCAAACTTAAGTTTTGTGTGTAATATTCTCTGAACTATTAAATTAAGTTAACGTTTCGGCTGTTATCCTCTTCCATCATGTTTGCATTTTTGTAATACTCGTTTCAATCAATATTTTAATTTAGGGTGATAATGGTTTTAAAGATCAAATTGATTCGTGTTTCACATTGTCAAAATATCTTGTCAGTGAAATAAAGAAGAGACCACGTTTCCAGCTTGTTTTGGAAGAGGTAAGAAATTAATCGTGATTGTGTACAAAATAAAAGATTCCATAAGTTCGGCAGACAGACACGTGAGTGATTCAGACATAGATCGTCAGTTAATAAGTCACATGGAAAATTAGTATATAAGTCATATGGAAAAGAAAATCATTAAATACTGTAAACTGAATAGTTTTCGTGGATACTTTTATCGCGTTTATTGTTTTCTATCCGAATTTGCAGTGATTTATTATCCTCGCAGTTTTATCAGTTTGCTCATGTATCTATACATTAAAGCGAAGTTCCATGTTTTGTATGTTGACGATATATATAAAGCGTATATTTTTGTATTCTTAAACGTTGCTAACGAAAATAAGTTGGTTTACAGTAAGCCGAACAGACAATGATTATATCGGTCACAATGGCATGAAACCGCCAGTAAGTCAGTCACTTTACACAGTTCTGAATTTTTTTAAGGTAAGGAAATATTGATACATATACTTCTACTATTTGTGCGTGATTGGAAACTTAAATAAATATAATGAGACCTAAATGTGCATGGTGTCCGCGTATAAAGATCCCATTTTTAAATTTGGTTTCGCTTTTTGACTTTTACAAACGCATATGTTGACTTCCCTTCTAACTTTGCATTAACTAAAAGCAAAATGTTGTTTTGTCCCATTTATTTGTCATTATTTTATTTAGAGCAATTCGAAATAGTTAAGAATAAATGAAAAGATAATTCAATTAAAAAAAAAAGTGTTTGACATGAAATTTTGGAGTTACTACCCGTTCTTCACATCCAACACAATTGACATATAGCATATATTTTTTTTGGGGGGGGGGGGGGGGGGGGGGGGGGGGGGAGGTATCTGGTCTTGTCTTACTTTAGGAACAGTAACTATCAGATCTAATGCAAATATCAGAAAGGAGACGACAGATAACACGCATGCACGATTAATGTATAAGGTTTGTCAATAAAAGGGAAAACACATCATTAAGTATTTCGACAAACTTTTTTTTTAGACAAATCTTACAAGTTACTTTCTTTAAAAAAAGAAATGCAATCGTGAACCTAAGTGCCTGTATGGTATATAAGATCAGATAATTGTTATATAAAAACTGCTGTTCAATGTTGGATATAATTTTCTTGTTAAATAAATAATTTCTCTCTCTCCCATCCCACTCTCTTCCGATAGATAACATTACAACATGCTAAATAGGAGGCAACCACTGTATGTTCCATTCTGAGGTGCTGTTTTGGAAATTAGAGTAAGCTTTCTGGCTAAAGTCGACATGTAAATGTGATAACAGTCTTTGTTTTAATGAAGTTTAAAGAAATGAATCATCATTATTTGATACTGTAGCCAGGTTAAAAATAATTCAAAACCCTAAGTTATATTCTTATTTGTTAATCCCGTACTAAAACCGTTATGGAAAACCAATTACACTGGTTTATATTAAATTAGTTTGTTTAAACAAATCTCTCTTTTAATTTCATAACTTGTCCTTTTGTAAATTAGCCAAAACACAATGAATTTGTTGATTTGTTTTTTGTATACGATTGTGTGACAGACGGAGGGAAGCAGGAGTAAGAGTGCCAATTCAGTATAGCTTATGTCCAGTGCGCAATTTAAACATAATTTGTTACTAAGTTGTGCTATGTTTTGTTTGTTTGCATCTTTTCTGGACGTAGAATTTAATTGCTGCTTAAACGGACTTTGCTGATTTTTTTAATAACGCTAAAATGGCTCAGTTTTAAAACGCTCTATACATTGACGATCACTTAATCTCCAATGTGAAACCAGGTTTTAATTTAGAAAACTTAACATATGCGACTCTAATTTAATTAACTATTGATGTAGGATATCATTCACCGACCGTGCGAGGGATGTACATCCAGTCAAGGTCGTTAAACACTTCCAGTTAGATATTATTCAGCTGCAGCCTCGATTAACACTTATCTCTATAGCAACTGTACAACGCTAATGCATATTCATTAGATCAATTAATTACCTTTTACGCAGGACGCCATAGAAAAGAACAGATGTATTCCGAAAAGACAGTAGGTTTTCCGGTATTCCGAAAGACTACAACATCAGGCAATATATATGCGTGAACCCTCAGTAGTTCACGCAATAACTCATGTAATTTTCTGTAAGTGTGAGAATACACGATCATGATTGATGTACTTAACGCAATTTGTAAGTAATCCTAGACCAGATTCTATAGTCTTTAAACTGAAGGGTTTTTTTGGTAAGAATATTTTATTTTTAATTTTCAGATACAAGGGCCAAATATATGTTTCTGGTATATACCTTCGGGTATTGTCATAACAGACGAACACGATGAAGGGAAAACACATCTGAACAAGGTCATTAGTTAAACTATATACACATATTTTGGAACTATCTTTTTCCCTATTTTGTTATCATCTAATTTTTTTCTCTCTTGTTGAGCCTTTTCAATAAGTTATCACGTATTAATTAAAGTGTTAATAAACAAAATATTTGTTTACTCTTGTTGAACATGCCTTTTCCAATAAGGTATTTCTTATTAAGTCTCTCTTTTTGACTTGTAAGCACATGAACGCTTTTGCTACCGTTTTGGAAGTTTAGCCAATGTCTACTTGAAATTGAATGCCAATTCGTTACAAATGTATGATCATTCAGGGTAAGTGGAAAAGTAAATTACAGATAGAGATGCCACGCGCAGTATTTTTAACTTTGTATATTACGTTGTCTTTGGTATATATATTCATATAAAATATGTGGTCATAGTTTGGGTGTGTGTGGGGGGAGGGGGTTAAAAGAGACAAATTATCAAAATATTACATTTCTTTTGTAACGCGATTTGTATAATTATATGCATTTTGGCTCACCAATATCGTCCGCTCATTAAACGATTCTTTGGTACTGGTACGACTTGCGCAATATTTTTTGCTTTTAAGAGTTCACCAGTCATAAACCTAGTAGCTTTTGAAACCTAAGATTCTTCTCAAATACAAGTAAAAATCGTTGAAAGATAATCATTCACTTGGGGTTCTACTTCTCTTAATGCTTCTCTGTGATGCCAACGTTCTCATAAAAGATAGATTACATGAGCACATGTATCTGTACAATATCATCTTTTTTTACAATTAATATGAGGCCAATGCATCTGTTTCCTAATGCAGAAGACAAAACCTACTGCAAGAAAATTGGAAAAAGATGTATTGCATAGAAGGAGATGTGGTGGTGGGATATAATTTCAGGATAACGAAAATGCAAAGTTCACAAACTCCATACTTTTCAATTATATTTCTTTCTACCATTTGTTTTAAAACCCTTTTTTTATTTGTGACTGTTTTTTTTTTCTTTATTTTGCATTATTTTTCTACAGGTTGCGCCGAGTTTGAAAGCCCTTATGATGGAAAAGGGTACCATTATGGTCACTTATCAGCCTCTCGGAGATCTACCAAACTTCTTCCGCATAGCCATCTCAAACCCAGAAATACAAAAAGAAGACCTCGATTTTGTTTTAAATGAAATTGAAGAACTAGCCAAATGTTTATAAAATGTTCCAAATAGAAGTGCGAATAATGATACTGTCACTTGGTGTTGGCAGACAGATTGTTGTCGTCATGCAAGTGTTTAGATTATAAGGACTTAGTTTATAAAACTTGTAATCTGAAATGTTTGTTAAGAATATTTTTATTTGTATTGGTGCTTTTTATTTAAAGGTCATTGAGTGATCTCTCTTTATAAAGTTATTGCAAACATGATAATTAATAAATAACGCAGATAAATAGATCCAATATACATACTTAAATAATTATCTGCCAAAAACTAAGCGTGTTTTCATAGATAGAAATCAACCTGTAGGAAATACAACGATCAAGCGTATTTTTATTGTGCTATATAACAGGACTAAAAGCATTATTCTCAATTGGTTGTTCTTTGCATCTGTTATTTACATGCAACTATTACTATAAATGTCGTGGACTGCATTTTTCGTCCAGGTACTTTGTACTTGAAATGTTATTACCGTCTTCTCGGTTGTATTAACTCTTACCATGCTGAATTGTTTTCAGAAAATGTCTGATTTACGTTTATTTGCAAAAATATGCAAATTATAGGCAAATGAGTCATACCCTGCTGCTGATATATTCCATATGTATTCCATTAAAGCTAATATAGGGGATAACGGGGCGGGAACGTTGATATGAAGAGAATAGGAGGGTAGGAGGGGTAGGTGGGCCGAAGATATATTTCACAAAGGTGGTCATCGGGTGCAAAAAGCGTTAATTTTTACCATTTGTCGTCCTATTTCCTGACCTGGAAGACGGAGGGATGCGGATAGATGTGTAGTCTGCATATAGAGTGACCCCAGTGAACACATTGACCTGAAAGTATAAGTATGGTGTTCTACAAAGTTTGGTTTCACTTGGACCTGAAACCGGAAGAAGTCGTTTCCTAAGTGTATTTCACTAATAAACACGAATAGTAGTTATATATCCACTGGTTGACACTATTTTTAGAAGTTTGAGGCCTCTGTACTGTGTTTCCCAGCCACCGAAGGGAATGCCTACCCCCCAGAAAACCTTTTTTTTTATCCGATTTTAATTTACGAGGTTCGTATTTGGGCTGAAATTGCACCTTTAACCTGAGAAACATGACAATAAATAGCCTTAGGTCGAAGGAACATGCATGAATTTTAAATTAAGTACTATACAGTTGACTTCTAAAAGTATTTTTGAGGTGAGGCCGTAATATTACGGTTTCAGCATTTTAGGGGTTACGAGTTGAGCGATGCATGGTCTTCGGAGTGAATGCTGTTAGCTACGTGATTGGAAGATATTACTGACTCAAGTTCGTTGATAGGTTGAGAAAATTTGAAACCTAGTAAATGCCTTCGAATCCCACAGGGTATCGGATTCGAACTTTCTATATCTCAACATAACTTGACTCAATTAACGCGATATATTTTCTTTCATAAACTATATCTTAGAAATATAAAAATGTATATTGAAATTCGAAATCTTTACCTAGAAATAGGAGGCGAAAGATACCAAAGGGATATTCAAACTCGTAAGTCGAAAACAAATTGACAGTCTCATGGCAAAAATACGAAAAACGACCAAAAGACAGGTGCTCCGGAATGTTAAGCAAATCCTGCTCTTCATGTAGCACCCGTCGTGTTGACGCTTAGAAGCTTTACTATTTAAAACTTTTTAGTAAAAAGTATTAATTCTTCAAATTTACCCTCAATAGATCCATATTTTTTCCAGATAGAACTCTAAGTTGTTGGTTCAATACTGTCTCGCATTACAAGATGTTTTTGTATTATATTGTTTCCGTGTCAAATATGATAACATTATGTATAAATTGAAAATTTGTTTTGGTAAAATGTTCAATAGGAAACAACTGTTTGGAAAAAAAAAACACATTTCAAAACAAATCAATGAATTTCTGTATTTTTCATTTCGTTTATAGATAAATTTCCAATATAAGTTACACTTAGAGGTTGCACTTTATAAATACAGCTCTGTCACAAGCCACGCCTCTTTTGGGGAGATATATTATATTCATAGATATGTTAATTTGCTAACGTACTAGTTCCCAGATATGATCTCTGTGTTTCATTTCATAGAGACATAACTTGGGAATGTTACCAGTATAGAAAAACATGGTAGCGCCTAAAATTTAATTGTTAGGAGGTCCAAAAATGGAGGTAGGCGTAATATAGAATTTCAGTATAAGTTTGAACTCTTAGAAGTTCAGGGCATATAAACGTTGAAAATATGCTGCACAGCCCTATATTTTGACCTTTGAATAAAATAGTAGTGCATAACAACTTTCCGTTCTGGGATATAATTTTTTAAGAAACTTCATAGTAAAAGTGGCACAGTTTTAGCCCCAAAGGGAGTTCCTATGGGAAATTGCATTGTCTATATTTACAGAATTGCAACCTAGAGTACAAACAGGGTTTGTTTTCGGCATCATATTAACATATTATCATTCTGATATACATTTATTATTCAGCAGACATTTAACACCTTCAATCTTCATGTCTATTATATCATATAGAGTGAGTGTAAAATGGGTATACATGTATGTGATATTATGCTCTTAACCTTTTGTTTTTTTTTTGGTCAGACGTCCAATTCAGAACAATGACATATTACACATTACATTTGTACTTCCTTTGTCTATACCACCTTTTTATCAATTCAAATTAGTTTCAAAAAGCCTTTCTCTCCTAAAAAAGCATTAACTTGTGTGCAAATGTTGAATAATAATGTCTGTGCTATATAAATACATTCATGTAGTAAACACTTGTCATATATTACTGCAAAGAGACGGATAGATTTTTGGAAAAGCTAATACTTGTTTATAGTGTTTTTTTGTCATTTAATTATCAATGATTGTTCCGTTATCTAATTTTCCTTTACATGCATGGCCTATTACAATGATTCCGAAGTCACACCCAAGTATACACACGTAAAATATGACAAAAAGCTGCGTCACTATAACCATCGATCAGTACATAATTGGGACTAGGAAAATGTCAGTCGTTCTTCCTGATACCCCTCGTTGGTCTCGTGGTAGCGTGTTCGCCTCAAGTGCGGGCCGGGTCAAAACAAGGACTTGGTATTTGCTGCTTCTCCGCTAAGCACACGGCATTATGGAGTAAGAGCAAAGACTGGCTGGTTAAATGTGTCGGTCTAGTACAAAGCAGGGTAAATATTCATATTACAATAGCATGTTTCCGTCCTGAATATGCATATCAATTTGCCGCTGGACGTTAAGCAGCCATGCATCATCATTATCATCATCATCCTCATACCCTACCTTTAATTAGAGTATACTTCACATTGCTATAAGCTAGTGAAATCGCCATATCAGAAACAAAGTCTGACATATATTTTAAACTGATTATGATATAAGTCAACGCTATATACATAGACAAAACACATATAAATCAATAAATAAAGAATAAAATATAACAGAAAATAATACAATAGTGTTACAAAACTACATGTCAATTATTTTTTTCGGTGTCTATTGCGAAGTACAACATTAAAGGACAATACTGTAATGTATGAACTGAAATATCTACTGATTTTCCAAATAACATAAGCTGGTTTTCGGCTGACTAACTCTTTGTTCATAGTTTGAGCGAAGCGTTAAATACAAGAGGTTCCAGTTTACCAATACGCCATGCATTCCGTATTATGAATTACTCCTGTTAAAATGTCACCGTTTTAGCAACATTTAGATTCCTGACGTCTTATTAAAAATGGCATTCTATAAAAATCTGAACTTATTGTAAAATTTCTCTACTTCTGTCATGAAATCGGTGATTGCTGCAGTAAGTCTAAATGTTCCGTTATTCTACAATTCTACTCATACATCTGCTCTTCCTTTGCTTTTTTCAAAAATCACGCATCTCAAAATAAAAATCTTAATCCCAATGTTAACTAGGATATAGTAATTTGGTCGACTGGGACTTCTTCTGTCCAGCAGTAAGACCTTAGCTGACAGAGGTTCGGTCGGAATGGGGACATCTGATGCACAACATTTTGAGATTACCATGCTCTCTGCACGTAAAAAACAACATTGCAGTAATTCTTTTGTTGGTTCAAAGTTGTCCTGGTGCATACAAGGCAAAATGTATGCCCATTTCTCAAACAAGAAATTACATATTCCACTTTTATTTCATACAGACATATCATTAATAAAAATTAAGTACACTCATACTTAAAGAAATGTATATATATATAATGTTATCCTCATTGAAAACAACTGAGCAAGTAAATTTTAATTTCTACTTAGAAATAAGAGCAAAATGCTAACAAATTATAAAGCAACAAACATAATGAACCAAAAATTACCAAAACAGTAATTTTGTTATAATTAAAAAGTGGCAAAATGGTAAAAAAAAAACATCTTTGAAACAAGTCATGTTAAAAATTTAAACTTAAAATCAAATTGTCTCTAACAAAAACAAAAACATTCCTTTTGACATTAATATTTATTGACCTTCAATTCTTCATCATTCCTTCTTGCATTTTTAAACTCTTTTGAATAAGTAAGTTACTGTAAACGTATTGAGGGATTTGTTTTTCAGACTTCAACAGACTAGAAAAAAAGTGTCTATAAATTGTCACACATATGTCAAACTATGATTATCTCTTTTATCAAAGTTAAAAATTTTCTAAACATAAGTTGTTGTGAAGTCAACTAAAATGGGCCAAAAAACAGAAGAAAAAAAATGAGATGGTTTATAATGTATATTGATAAACACCTAAGATGTTTAAAAATCTATAAATATTATTCAATATCTTAGTCTAAGACTGACATGAATTGTGTATTAATCACAATCTACTGTGGATATTCTATTTATATTTCATCAGTTGTAATTTCTAAATTTCCTATCTAATAAATGTTAATTTGTCCTTAAAAATCAAGGTAAGAATGACACAGTAAGTACCTAGATTTAACTTAAATAGAACTAAATCATGGCTTCAATACATAGAGACTCTTGCTTTTAAACTGGCTATTTTTTGCTATTCCTAGGTCTTTCAGTCTCTGACAACTTAG